TAAAATACATACTGTTAATATAGTGAAATCAGAGAAATTATTATAGTTAGCATGATCATACTGTATACACAAAAATCAAAGAGTTAAAATATATGAATATATTACATTTATAAATTATGCACAATATCTACTTATTTTTCTCTTTGTATGGACTCTAAACTGTACTAAAAAATGAAAAGTCCATGAACCTATTGTCATACAGTCAGCTTTCATCGCACAAGGAATTCAACAAACAATATGTTAGACACCAATTAATCTAGAAAATATTACAATACGAATTTTGAAAAATTAGCAGAAATATTGTCTATTTTGTTTCGAATACTTATCACTATTCTGAAGTGTTCACTATACAGAAAGCTGATAGAAACTAGTAACATAGGATGCTAACAAAAATATATCTAAATTATTTCATGGTTATTTGTTTCTTATACTACGAAGTTTTCAATTGTGAATGATTTTAAAATATCTGAAATCCTTTTTCTCCGATCTGTGTACTAAATATTTAAGCTTTAGATGATTATTCATATGAATTTGTAGAAGACATCGATTAAGTCTTACCTTTTCTAATTCACTGATATCAACCAGATTTTTTAGAATACAATAGAACGTTAAAATCTTAATTTTTAATTATTATTTTCTATTATATTTCAGATAGGAAATTCATTGACATCAATGGAAATAAGATATTGTAAAAATGTTCATGACAAACAGGTTATTTTTCAAGACATGCAACCGGAAAGTTTCATGCTGAATAATAATCATATATCACGAACGATCAATAACGAAGAAAGCAATATCTCATACCTAGACAGTAATGTTAATTCAACTAAATAAATGAAAAACTTCACAATCGTGAGAAATCCAATTTTGATTAATACTATTAACAACAGTATTAATGAATAATTTCATCGTCAAATATGATGATGAGTGAAGAAGAAAGGAAAAGTCGAAGATCTTTTGAAACAATCAAATGAAAATCTGCACATATTTTTAAATGAAACGGTAACATTTAATCAACAATTACAATTTCATTCAATCTAGGAAATTCTTTTATTTAAATTAACGTTGAACAAATTGAGATTCTCTAACTGTATATTCTTTCAATTTATCAGCAGTAACATGTGATTTTCTTAAAGTTTTTTATACAAGTTCCCATTAATTCTTAGAAATATTCATCTTGAAAAAAGTTACTTCGATATTTGAATTTTTCTTAATCTATACGTTCGTCTCAAATTAATTGAATGTATTTCATCCTTATTTTTTCACCTCTAATTCAAGTTTCGCTTCACTAAATATACGTCCCTTTTGTCTAAAAACTTCATATTAATCTATTTTAATCTTTTTTTTGGAATCGATAATTCAACGGAAAAACCTGTTATATTAATCGATCATCAATTTAACCTATCTCTGGACAAACAATCAGACTTTAAAAGAGAGTTCATGAGAGGATCGAGGATCATGCCACATATCGAAGCATTCGTCAAAATTTAATTTCTTGATTTTTTTGTTTTCATCTTAACCAGCATCATCTGAAACCTCTATATCCAAATTGAGGGTGGGTGTGGGTGTGTGGGTGCAAGTATATCAAAGGAAGATCCACACTCACACTTACACCCACACCCTCAAATGTGCACTCTACTTGCCTTGAAGTCCCACTCATTGATCACTGAGTAGTAGAAATCAAATTCTAGGAAAAATGATTTTCTTGGAGTAAATCAAGGCGAAGAGATCAAATGTATGATTTATTCGTCTCTATGAATGTGCAGTGTCGGTTTAATGACCAGCAGTGCCATCGAGCCATTAATGCACTGACAATGACCTCCGCGGATTGCAATTTAGATTATAGAGTGCAATATGTTGCATATAGATCTTAGTCAACATAAATTAGGATCGATGTCAGTGTTGCTACACTGCCCTGAGTTTGGGCGTCCTCACTGTCAGTATTGCATCCTTCAGTGTAAAATCGCACATCCCTACTCGTCTCTAAATCCTATTCGTTTAACAATAGTCTATATAAGTCAAGCGTTTATAGAAACAGTTCGCTAGGATACTTTTTACGTCTACATCTTCTAGAAAAATTCATCTATATCATTCAAATTTTGAAGTACACATAATCTCGGACTGAAATCCGAGGTTTCCGCATTTATTGTTTCTTGATGTTTTATTAATCATTTTGTAGCTCGCGAAATTCTCTATCGAATGGTATATAAGAGTTGGGGTTTTAATTGACTTTGATAGGAAAAGTCTTTTACGAAAAGGGCGATGGGTTGATTTTCCCCTAGGAAGCCATAAGGAAAAATGGGTATTTTTGCAATAACTCAGAAATGGCTGCGCCGATCCTTCTCATCTTCGAACTTGACAGAGATATTGTTGAGAGTAAACTGTGTAAAAAGTTTCATCGTGATCGGACTCTCTTTTCAAAAGTTATCGTGTAAATATATGGACGGACGGACACGCTGACTGCTTCTCGAATGTACTCATTTTTTGAGTGCACAGAAACGATTCTAAAACAACCTCTATAATCCTGCTAGATGTTGTAAAAGTATTTGTCCTAATAGTGGCATTTGTTTTACCTATGAATATTCGATATTGATATCTATTTATTCGAGAATATGTTGTCAAGGAAAAAAAAGATCTTTTCTTGTGCTGCTCTTATTCAGAAAAAATGGTCGTTCTCCACTATAATATGACAGAAAAAAAAACGGGTACATACTGTTTTTCCTCATCATATGACGAGTAAAATGACATAAAAATGTTGGGGTAAATGCGAGTCTAGGAATAGTTGATGCATTTTTGGCAACGCTCAGCCAATTTTTCAGGGGGTAGCGTCTTGTTGGGCTCAAGAGTCGTTCGAGGAAATCACATAGGAACATTTTGAAATCCACATTAGTAGATGCAGTTTTTCGCGCTGCGTCGAATGAGCACATTTTCGAAGCGCTTACATAATAATATTAATGTGAAGCAGTTAGATTTCGTGTAAAACCGAGTATTTTTTTACATAGGAAAAAGGTGAATTTTCTGCATATTTTTTAAAGAGTTTTTTAAAGATTTTAACTAAAAAAATGGTTTTAAAAGTTTTTTAAAATATACAGTTTTGTAGAGCTCGTTGAGCTCTATCAAACCATGTAAAAATATCACAAAAAAATTTTCGTCGAGTTTTGAATTATTCGCACCTTAAATCTAATACAGAACATCAAATTATTAAAAAAAGAACAGATATTATTCTTCTTTGAAAATTTATTTCTTTGCTGTGTTTTTATTGCAAAGATAGATTTTTCGTAACGTTCAACCAAGAGCTATTCTAAATTTTGAATAGTTCAAAAAGGCTACGTAAAGACTAACGATAATACAGTGAATACGACTACTTTGTTTGGTTACTTTTGTGCAAAAGAAATCTCGTTCTGTTTCTAATTTAAATAATTATTAGTATGGATCTACATTTCGACAAGTTGATAGTGACTGATTATACTATTTACAATATCAAAAATGATTTCAGTTTGTACATTGTTGGTATAACTGTATTTTTTAACAATAAAGTAACGTTCGGAAAGGAAAATTTCCTTCATTTAGAGATGAGGAAAGTGAAAATCTAATTTAATACGTTTAAACAAGACTATGAATGAAAGTAGAATAAATAGCTGTTTCATTGGATTATTTTAGTTGAACGGTTTGTATACACATTTTCTGTTCTTACAGTACGTTTTAATGTTCGAATTCATATGTCGACTTGATTAAAATTTATCTAAATTATAGTTCCTTAGATCTAAAAAAAAAGAATATAAACGAGTGCATTAATTATAACTGTAATTCAAGGCATATGAAGCAAATGACGGTTCTCAATTTTTTTCCATTTGTTATATACTACACCATTGTTTGAAAAACGTTGTGTAGTCTTTTAGAAAACATTCGTTTCACATCGTTTGTTTTAGCAGATGTGAAACGCATTAATACCGATCAGTTTGATGCGTTTTTTTCGCCGAAATTTCCACGATAGGTGACTAACGGCCGTGCAGTTAGACTAAGTCGATGAAGTAATATCTATCCAAAATCAACATTTGAATATCATTCTCTTTTTTTTTCTACATTAAAAGCAATTTTTAGAAGAAAAAAGTATTTTTATAATGGAAAAAGCATCGTCTAAGGAATCTATTGGTAAACAGCGATAATCAAAACCAATATCGAGTAAATGTAAAATAAATGGAACTTCATTTATATATTCATATTATGATGTTGTGTCATGCAATTCATGTAAAGTATTTTTCAAACGAAATACTGTAGAAGAATAGGGGAATTAAAAATAATTGTTTCTATTTTGATTATATTCATTTTTTATTTTTTATTTTACTGAAAAATCCAATACAAACAACATTAACAATTGTAGTTAGTTTAAATGAATCTGAACATGTTAGATTTATTTTTAATTGTCTTATTTTCAAAATAAAATCATGATAGTTTTTAGCTAAAAGTCTGACGAAGGGATTTATTATTTTTTTTTGAAAAATAAAAAAAAAAATGATTATAATCGTTTGTCCCATTACATTCAAAAGAAAAAATTTCGAAATTTTTATAACAGATATATCTAAAGATAAATGAATAGCAATGACTCTCAACTCAAAATTTTCAATTATTTTCATTTCAGATATATTAACATCATATAAATTGAAAACAAATGACAAGGGTGCGGGTGTGGGGTGTGAGACAATCAAGAAAACAACAACAACAACAACACCCTCATTCATCATACTTTCTTTTATTTTTACTCGTTTAGTACGGAATAGATCGTATGTAGGATGTAACAGTTGATGAATGTTATCCTTGTGTCTGATTGACTTGTCCGATATGTTCTCTATTGATTTATTTCTCGGTTATCATTATATATTTATAAATAAAATATTGTTAACAAGTATCTCAGAATGTGTTTGATTACAATTCTTTGCTATAATTATCAATTATTTTTACAATTTCATTTACAAAAAGTAGATTTTTGGAAGACTGCTGGACTATTGACAAAAAACTTCTGTACGGTTCGCTTGATTATCATATCGAAGATCGGTATCATTTTGAAAATATTTCAAATAATATCGATAAATCTCTGGTGTATGTTTATGTCCAACTAAAGTAAAATTTTTTATAATGTCATTCTTTGTGATACCACATTGAATTAATGATTTAAATGTATCCAATGATTTCTTATTGGTATAGTTGCCGATAACACCAATACCTTTTAGAAAACAAAAGAAAATTATTTGAATTCTCGAAATTCTATCTTGGGAGTCAATTGAACACTTTCGCAATAAAAACCTTTCAATCGTACAAATCAAAATTCATCTAAGATTTTTATTAATTATTTGTAGAAAGATTATGACAAGATTCAGATTAAATTGACAAAAACCTAAGATCTTCTGTTCTCGAAAGTTTAAAAAAAAGGAATATATTCTTACCCAATGATCTTTGATTATAAGCTATACAATGTGCACCCATATATTTCCATCCTCTACCTGTATATATTTTTTGTTGATCATCATTATCATGACATATGAGAAAATGATAACCAATATCTACATAGCTTCGGTTATCCATTTCATAATTTTGATATTCTTTTATGTATTTGATACAATCTCGTTGATCCATAGTTGAATTTAAACCTGCTAATTCGTGTACAACAATATGTTTAACCGGATATGTTGTTAAATTATTACGGATTCCATAAGGACGTGCATTCCAACTTGATCGATTTAATATATTGGGACAACCTAGAGAAAGTCAAGATCAAACATATCGAAGTTTTTCGTTTTCAAAAATAGCACTATGCAATGTTTCTCTTTTAATACTTCAGTTTTTTGCACATTTTGTGGCGTTTAGATCGGTCAGATCTTGCGCAATCATTTATAAGCATTTGTTTTAATATATTACTACAAAAAGAAGTCTAATGGTGTTGAGACTAGTGATCATCAAGATCATAAAATCTATTCACCTCTTGCAACTCATCAGTCATCGTTCGAAAATATAAAGCGATCTCATAAACTTTGTGATCATTAGACTTGATATAATTTAACTTCTTTTTCTAGTTATATATCAAACCAAATGCCTAAAAACAATAGCACGATATATCCAAGAAACTGTAGCATTAAAAAAATAAAAACTGCGTAGTTTGTTTTGAAATCGAAAAACCTTTGATTTTTGTATTTCCGTCGAATATAATAACTTTGAATCGTATCTGTGAAGTTTACTCATATAAATAAAAACTTCACAGTAATATCTATCATTTAAAAAACATCGTTGATTAAGTTCGATAAATAGTAGAATTATATAAATTTACTATTCTTTCGGCCTTTTGGAACATCCTATATCAGTAGAGATTTTATATTTTTGCTTGTTAGGATGTTATTTTTGAAACACGATTTATAAGGAGTGTTGAAGTGTACAGGATAGAAATTTGGATTCATTCTGTTGACAGATATCTTAGCAACGTCCCTCTCTCTATTATAGATATCAAACAACGTCTGCCTTCCTGTCACAGACCGTGACAGATGCCCTAGTGTTGGTACCCCTTCCTTATGGAAAATGACGTACATACTCAGAAACCTGAAATCTACTACAGGATTAATGTGAAACATAATTGAATTTGAGATGTTTGTTCTTCGTCCTTCTTTCACGTGCACTAACATATTCCGACGAACATCTATTATTGTCGGCATAGAATAACAATAAATGGTAATTCACAATCGAAATATAACTATATTGGCAAATTGCCTTATTTACAATATGCGCAGCACCATCATGTTTCGCATTTTAATCTCACAGAGATTGTGCTAATAGTTTTTTTTCACTATCTTTCTTTTACCTGGTGGTAATGGAGAATCGACATCTAGTGGGAGCGTTGTCGAATGTTTCGTAGAACCCTTTTTTATAACAAAAATAAAAATGAATGTAAAACTTAAAACCAAAAGTATAGCTGAAACCAAAAGTCCAATGATACTATAAAGAAGACATTTTCGCTGTTTATATTTTTCATATTCTTCAACATTTTTTATATCATCATCAGCTGATGAAAATGATGATTGTCTTGACGTATTATTACCTAAAAGTTTAACAAACCGAATAGAAAAACTTAATTTTCTATATATAAAAAATCCATCTTACTTTCTGACTCATTTTTATTATCAATTGGATCTTCACATTCTTCTAATTCAATTTCAATTGAAATTGATGCTGTTGGATTATCAAGATAATTTCGTTTAATTGATGTTACTTTAAAAACAGAAAATGGAATAATTAAAATTTCTTTTTCGTCCGGTCTCGTTGATAAACTTTCTATATTGATAGCTGTTGAATTTTGTTTGATTAAATATTGACATAAACATGAATATTGTAATATACTATCATCATTAGGAGTATGTCTCATTTTAGATTGTTGACCATCACCAGCAAACATTTTAGCTACTTCATGATCAATAGATGCCGATAAAAATGCACGATTTAATATATGTTGATTTAATTTATATTGATCCAAATCATTTTTTGTTATTCTCATACCACGATAACATATGCCTTTATATCGATATTTAGGTAAATTTGGATTATAAATAATAAGGGTAACAATGTGAATTAGGCAATTTACAAGGCGATAATTTGATGAAAAATCTTTTGTTTTATCAAAATAGTCTAATACATACAAAGCCAAATGTTTATTTAATACTTTATAAAAAAAATCTGTTAATGTATAAGCTTTTATAAAATATGTTAAATAATCTTGTTTTTCTATCGCTTCTTTAAAATATGCTTCAATAACTTCAATTTGTTTAGAAGTAATTTTATCTTTCGAATTATTGATATTATTACATTGATTTGTTAAATATTCCTTCAAATAATAATGAATAACTTCAGCTAATAATTTTGACACTAAATGATTGTTATATGTTTTGTATAAGTCAATAGCTCGATGAAATTCGCGTCGTTTTCCAAGTAGATCATTACCTACCATTGACCATTCAATACAATTATAATCATTATTTGAGAATAAATTTTGATATTCTAGAAATAATTTCTTTATTTCATCTGTATAAGCTTCTTCGTAAGGTGTTAAATCATGTCGTAAATTTCTTATAGAATTTAATGCTCCATATTCTAATAAAATTTGTACAACATCTCGATGTCCATAATAACATGCTACATGTAAACATGTTGAACCAGTTGATGTGTGAATTTTATTGATTATGCTTGTATTGCGAATAAATGGTAAAATTTTTTGAATTTTCTCTATTTCATTTTCTTTACATAAATGATACAATGAATTAATATTTGAGTCATCGTTGTCATCGCTTGATAATAATGGTGATAACATTGCGATGATGGAAACGAAGAATAGAACTTTCGACAACTACAAATTTACTTTTAACGTGTTCTGTGTACTAATCATAAAAGAACAAGAATAACAATATTTTATAATATAAACTTATCTCTTGATCTTTTATGGTGTTTTAAACTTAATAATTCAGATAAGAACACTACGATACTTATCAAAACGAAATAAATATATTTGCTGATTGAATTTTTTATCTAGATGTTTCTTTCATTGTGAGAAAAAGTATTTATATTTGAATGTATATTTTTTACTTTTGATAAGAAGAATTGTGTAAATAATAAAGAAAAAAGGAAGTACGTTAATACTTGATCAAGATTATACCATGAAAAATTAAGATATTATTTGTTTTTTATTGTCACAAATACTGAATCAAAATAAAGAAAATATAGTTTAATACTTTCTTCTCGTATTCCATATCATGGTAAAATTACACATAAAGAAAAATGCTACATAACATCAAACAATATTTAATCTTTTCTAATCGGCACTTTTTATTGTTTTGTACAAACATAGAGAAAAAATAGCAAATTAGTTCTCTTTTGCGTTCTCTCATTAAAAATCAGCTCTGTATCATGTAGAAAGTTTAGATATGTATCTAGGATTACTGATTAAGGAAAAGATGTTGGGAGCTTCCTCTCCCGGAAATTTTGGCTCCTTGCTGTCAAATTTGTTTCGTTACATTTCTGCATTTTTTTGTTGAAGAGAAATTTTTCTCATCTTCCTGTAAGCAGCAATAAAATTTAAGAAGATAAATTTCACAACATTCCTTTTATGTAATGAAGGCAAATAATTAATTTAATTGATCAAATGAATGAAAAATATTTACACCATTGAGATATTCAAAACATTCAATTATTATTTAGTTTAGTAATAGTTCAAAATTCCTATCTGCTTGTATTGCGCTCACAATGAATAGAATTTATGAATTTAAACCAACGTATATTTACCTTTCTGCATTAAAGATATGTATATGAGGGTTCGTTGTGAAGGTAATTCGGACTCACGTGATAAACAAAAAAAAAAAATGAAATTTCTCTCTTTTTTGAACTGAAATGGTTCATGACCAAAAAATTTTGGCAGTGTAACCTTTTGTGGCAAAAATGAATATTTAAAATGTTATATTTATGAATACAATTTGTTATCTGTACTAAAACATTTAACAAAATTATTAACTACAAGTAACGCTCGTCAGCATGACTCGCTTCACCCTCGACTGAAGGATTAGCTGCAACCAGTGACGGCTTGAGGGGGACGCTTAGGGTGATCGCCCCCATTCGAAAAGAGAATTTTCGATTTTTTCCAGCAGACAAGCATGAAAAATAGGGCTTATACTACCACTTCTAAGCTTTAAAATTCACTTTTTGATGAAAATCGCCTCATATCTAACGGATCGCACCCTATGAAAAAAATCCTAGGTCTGCCGCTGGCTGCAACCTAATTTTGTCATGTGTGGCTATTGGTATGAAAGTCTTCTTTACACTAATACTGACACCAACACTCGTCTTCATACCCCACACCTGGACACATAAACCCACCCAGACAGTAAAAATAGGTAAAATAACATGTAATAACGCCTGAAAATATGCGCTTTTTACGTTTTCAAACGCAAAAAATGTTTTTGTAGAAAAAATTGCGAATCTGAAGATAGGAATGCTTGCAAAGTTACCTTTTTTTCGAAAAATAAAAATGTTCTTTTTAGCGTTAAAGTGTGCGGTTTTAACGCGTTAAAAACCGCATTTCAACGTTAAAAACAATTTTTATTTTTTGAAAAAAATAAGTTTGCAAGCATTATCATCTTCAAATTCGTAATTTTTTCCACAAAAACTGTTCGCGTTTGAAAACGTAAAAAGCTCACATTTTAACGCGTTATTACATGTTATCTTATCGATTCTTACTGCCTGGGCAGCGATACTCACAACCACTCAACAAAAATTAACAGAACAACATTATACCACCGATCGCTGTATCTGACCGAAAAAGCAGTCTATACTTAGCTTTCTCAGAGATAAGGATTCAAAACACATTCACAACAATCTTGTAAAAGTGTGCTATGGTCTTTGAAATTTGTACTGAAAGAATTCATTGCCTTGCTAACACATCAGCTAATAGTACTGTTCAATACAGCGTTTGCGAAAGATATACGGGTACGGGTTTAGTTGAAACTTTGGCTTAACATCAGTCATATTAGGTCTAATCTGTAATCGAACTACCATACTTGAAAGCAGCTCCTATTTAAAGTAGCTGTAAGAAGAGATAGATAATTTGAACATATCCCTATACCTACCAACATTCGAATGAGTACGTAGAAGAAAACATTCCATTAGAAAACCCTGTTTATTTCATTCAAGTCTCATTTCAATAGGATAAATATAAAGTTTTCAAGTAATCTTTTCAGTCTAATTCACTATACCTATAGTTTTACATGCGAAAAAGGCGTAATTACGGTTTGTCTTCAAAAATTTTCTCAGTTCTTAGCAGCAGGTGGTCCGTATTCAAATCCATTCGATATAGACTGTCGATCCTCATTGGGTCTCTCTCAACAGTTTGAGACCTTTCGTAGAATAAGCGTCTAGTGCAGCGGCTAGTCGCTCGTCGGCGCCACTCATGGCTGGCCGCTGCTATTTTCTGCTGTATTTCTCTACAACATAATTCTTCTATATTTACACTTCCACTAAACTTGAACTCCGCTTCCTACGAAAAATCAATCGATACCATATTCATTTCTTCAGAGGCCACGTTACAAAAGAAGCTCATAACAGTGATACCAAAATGCAGAATAGGGTTTGAAAACTCTACTAGAAATTTGTATAGTTTTTAGAACACTCATCGATAACGCTGTTTGCTATAGAGTTCTCTAGGAAGGTAGAAGTTCAATCAACCTCTAGCTGAAAATAAATCATGTTATATCTGACCGTAAAGCGAAATATCATACATACAAGAATCTCTTCTTCAAACCAGCAATAAGACTAGACAAGTAACTTTAATATATGAGTATAAATTCAGATCAATGAATCAATACAAAGAAAAGAATATAATGAAAGAAATACTCTTATATTTTATTCATGTCCACTGTGGGCACGACAAATATAGAGTCTTTAAATCGTGTTTTTCGTGTAATGACCTATTGAGCTATTGTGTCCAGACACAAAAATCGTTTCTCATCCTTGACTTCACATATTTTTGCATCTGAGACTCCTTCCTCAAACCTATTAGACCTCTATCGTTCTGTTTATTAAATAAAACTCAAAACTTTGAAAGGGCACTTCTAGAGATAATCCACTGCAGCAGCTAGTCGCTCGTCGGTGCTCCTCCAGGGCGCCACTCGCGGCTAGCTGCTGCCAAGTGCAATCCCATTTTTACATAACATCATTTCTCTCTGTTTCCAATTCGTTCAGGATTAATTTATTTCAAAAATTCATTACATCTAGAACATTAGATTTATTAGCAATAATTTTCGAACAAGACTTTTCTCATGAATTATTTCTGATTTCCTCAAACTGACTGTACAGTAGGAAAATCAGACTTTTCTATGAGTTCCTCATTAAGAAAGTCTTAGTGCATAATTTTTCAAAATGTATAGCTGATACACAGATCTTTTATCACGTCAGTCTGCAGTATGCTTGCTATGTGAACGATTAGTAGTGCATTGGTGCCTCTTTGGAGCACCAAGGAATGCCAAGTCCCCCTTTATATAAATTCACTTGAATGACAGGTCCTTATCGTCCCCTTAATACAAGAACTTGGACATCACTCACATATATATTTTCAAGGTGACTTTCTTCAAATAACAGAAACTAGGCATTGCATGTACCGAAATTCTTGGAAAAATGCAAGTTTAAAAGTATCATTTTTGCATTATAGTGATAATAACATATGAAATATTAATACCAGGTACCATCATAAGACCCATGCCTATATTCCCTCGACCGATAAATTTAAACACTCGACAGAAACTCTTTTGGGTGGGTGTGTGGGTGGGTGTGGGTCTACTCTTTTCTTAAACCCACACCCACACCCACACCCCACACCCATAAGATAATAAATTTATTTTATTTAAATAATAATCAATGTATTATTGCAATAGGAAAATAATCTCGCAAATATTTCGAATAAGTTTTTTCTCCAACTGAAATAATTTCATTTATTTTGGCACAATTAATTCGTATCATCTCGTGCAAAATTGTGTGTGACTTTTTCTAATAATTTATAATTGATATTAAGATAAATATTATTATGAAAATATGTTTTTGTATTAAATAAAAATTCTTGTATATAATCTTCATGAACTGTTGAAATAACAACTGTAATAAGATGATTATATTTAACAATTGATAAATTGTTATCATTATTTATTGATTTATAAAATTGTTTAGATTTTTGTGTCTGATTATTAATCAATGTTAAACTTTCCAAAAATGGAAATGATTGAGAAATTTTAATAAAAAATTCATGTTCAAAAGGATGTTCATCATATAATGATATTAAACGAACATATTTATATAATCCACCTGAAAAATGATTTGTTATATTTTGATAATATTGCATTTCAGATGGATATGAATAAACATGACATTGACCTATTTGTTTTTCAAGAAAATAATCAACATAAGATATTATTTTATTATGCTTAAAATCTATGACTGTCTCTTGAATATCTTCTTTTGATAGTAAATTTATTTGATTATTAATAAACATAAGTGAATGAATATGAAATGAAAATCTATTTAGTTACGGAATATTTGACAATATATTTGTCTTTATATGATTTCCATCAATAAATCTATCTTTAACATAGAACGTAAGATATAAACCAAGTTTTTCTAAATTTCTCATTCGATAAAGAAGTAGCAAAATTAATTCTTCATACGATGATATTTCCCAAGGACATGATAGAACAAAACACTTTAGATTTGGAATCTTTACCTACAAAAATAAAGCAAAAACAAAAAAAAAATATGAAATTTATTTTCTTTTAAATAAACAAACTTTATTTTCAGGTAAATCTATTGAAAGAACTTTAGCCAAATCAACATAGAGTGTTTGTGGTTGACTGAAACGACCATCAAGAAGATAAAGACATTGTGACAAACTTTGAACCTTGATATTTAATACCAAAATATTTGAAGAAGAGAAACTTCGAGATGGAACATAAATTAATAATCGAACAATATTTTCAAATGATGATTCAGAAAATGTTAAATGTGTTAAATTGATAAATATAGAAAAAATACGACTGCAGATTTTCACTTTTGTAAATAGATCTTTTTTATTTTTATCAATTGTTATAATAAGTCTTCTTATTTGCTTTTTAAAAAAAGCACATGAAACATTTTTATTCAAATACAGAAATATACAATCAGAAATCAAAATTTCTATTAATTATTCGAAGTTTTGGGTGACAGATTTAGGAAGGTGATAGGGCGATTGACCCTAGCCCGAAAAAATTTCCGCTTTTTCTCAGCAGAAAAGTCTTAAAAATAATCTGATACTACGTTCTATGATTATAATCGTCCCTAGTTCCCTCTACTTGAAGTGCCCCTAGTCTAGAGCCCATCGAGTCCGGGTCCAAAAACTCTTGGACCCGATAGACTCTACCCTAGTCATAACGAATCGTCCCACATCATAAAAAATCTAGATCCGCCACTAATAAGTTCATATTGAAATATAAATTAGAGAAAATTCTTTCATATATTCCATGACCTATTTAAGTATATTAATAATTTCAGGAAAAAATTCGTATTCATTTTAAGGTGTTTTTTCATTTGTTTAGAATTAAAAGAAATTCAATTCTGATTTTCTTACCAGTAAAAAGACGTCTAGCTGTCTTTACTTTCATATTATATAGGGCAAGTCCATATAAGTTCGGATAATCTGCAGCACGTAGAATATGTTTCGCAGATGATGATTCAATGTAAAACCATTTGATTTTCATAGATATATCAGGTAAAATTTGTAAACAATATCGATTAAATATAACATTTGAAGAAAATTTCTTCGATGACCATTTGACAAAGTTCAGACTATTTGTGAATAATGGATCACGTATTATATTATTCAATCGTTTATTAACACCATGCAAAGAATAAAGTATATCAAGATTATCCAATTTTTCAAAAATAAGCAAAAGAATTTCATCGATTAGATCATTCAATTCGAAACATGAACATGAACATAACATATTTATTTTTACTTATCTATTTATTTCATCTGAGAAAGGTCAATATACATATATATGTGATCCAACGCACTAGACAAATAAAGCTAAATTAAGAAATGTGATTGGTGTTGCTACTTAGAAACATTAATCACATTTCATAATTAATATTCTAATTCGTCATTTTATTTGACCGATGTCGTCAAAAAGAACAAGAATGATGAATATTACTCAATATATTCTTATGTGATGATATTTTTGCTTTTGTTTATTTCTAATAATTCATAAGTATATTTACCATAGATAAAAATATGAAGTAGATCACAATTCATGTACTTTTCTATGAGAAATATGTACTAGAAAC